AAAATCTAAAAAAAAAAAAAAAAAAAAAGTAACTCCATTGTATGTATTTCCTATCACCACTCCTTTATCTCCAGATTAGAGTAGTACTAATATTTTCTCTTTGAGTGACTTTTACTAAGTCATTTAACTTCCCTGAGACTTAGTTCCTTTTATCTGTATGATCTGGGTTGTCAGACAAACCTTAGAAGTCTGCTGAGGATAAAAAGAATACAATAGAGTTCTGTGTAACCTATCTTCACTCTTTCCTCAGTATATATCAGGGTACATTTTAGTATTTGTTTTTTCCCTTTAAAAAGTTATTATTAAACTGATGTTGCATCTTAAAATTCATATTGTATTAGAATTAGAGAAATACAATAATTCCATAACATAAATTAAGAATAAGGGTTTACTGAGTCAAAATAGCTTTATGATACTTGATATGTGTATCAAAATGTCTTCTAAAAAGTTTTGCCAGTAACATCAAGAATATGTTGGTGTTATTATTTTCCTACAATTTTGTCAGCATGTGAGATTTGACTTTTCTCTTGATTTTAAATAGTCTTAATAGGTTCAGATGGTTTCTTCATTATATATATATATATATATAGTGTTCTTCCCTTCATCCTGGTAATAACGTCACGTCCAGCTTCCTCTCCCTAGCAACAACTAACCTCCTTGCAGTTTCTTCAGCCCAGGAATACTTTAGCCACTGTAACCAAATATCTGTGAAGCATTTTCCCATGCCTCATAGAAGTCCTGGAGTAGGTAGATAGGAGACTCGGTGGAATCCTATTTTCTTTTCATTAGCCAGAAAACAGAGATAACTCAGGAACAGTCAGATGGGAGAGGTGTGGAGTGCAAGATATGAGGAAAGGTCATTGCGGAGCTTCCATGCCCTCTTTTAACATATCACTTCAAATTTCCACGTGTTCACCAACCTGGAAGCTCCTGAAATTTTTCTTATTTCTTAAAGGAGCCGGGCATTTATTGAAAGTAGGCACTTATTGCTATTAATTTCCCTCTTAACACTGCTTTTGCTGCATCCCTTAAGTTTTAGATGTTTTATTTCCATTTTCATTAGTCTCAAGGTATTTTTTTTTATTTCTTGTTGACCCATTGGTTGATCAGTAGCATATTGTTTAATCTCCACTTATATACCATTGTGATCAGAAAAGATATTTGATATGATATCAGTCTTCTTAAATTTGTTAAGTTTTGTTTTGTGGGCTAAGATGTGGTCTACCCTGGAGAACGTGCCATGTGTACTTGAGAAAATTCTGAGTGCTATTTTTTTTTTAATGAAATGTTCTATATATATCTTAATGAAATGTTCAATATATATATCTTATATATATATTCATGTTGACTAATATCTCCTTAACATGTCTGAATGATCTATTCATTGATATCAATGGAGTATTAAAGTTTCCTAATATTAATATATTGCTGTGTATTTCTCCCTTTAGGTCTATTAACATTTTCTTTATATATTTAGATACTCCTATGTTGGGTACATGAATTTTGCAAATGTATTCTCTTGTTGGCTTGACCCCTTTATCATGATGTAGCACACTCCTCGTCTCTTATTGCAGTCTTTTTTTAATAATCAATTTTGTCTGATATAGGTATTGCTACTCCAACTTTCTTTTGGTTTCTATTTGCATGAAATATTTCTTTTCTATCCCTTTACTTTCAATAGTGATGCCCTTATATCTATCTGAAGTAACTCTCTTGTAGGAAGCATATAGATACGTCTTGTTTATTTTTATCCATTCAGCCACTCTGTCTTTTTATTGGAGGATTAGTCCATTTCATTTTAGGGAAGTATTGATGGGCATGTAATAATTACCATTTGTTCATTGTTTTCTGGCAATTTTGTAGTTCTGTTCTTTTCTTCTCTTGCTCTCTTCCTTTGTGATTTGGTAACTTTCTTTATTGATATGCTTAGATTCCTTTCTTATTATCTTTTACTTATCTCCTGTGGGTTTTTGCTTGCTGGTTACCATAAGGCTTACAGTAACACATATTTATGATACTCTATTTTAAAGTTAGGTTGCTTTAGGTTGATAATAACTTAAGTTTGAATGCATTCTGAAGCTCTACATTTTTATTCCCCCATTCCCACATTTTATAATTTTGATGCCACACTTTACATCTTTTCTTTTATATCCCTTAACTTATTATTGTAGTAAGTTATTTTTACTACTTTTGTCTTTTAACCTTCACACTAGCTTTGTAAATGATTAATGTACAACCTTTACTATATATTTACCTTTACCTGTGAGATTTATAGTTTCATAGATTTTGATGTTACTAATGAGTTACCCCCCTTTTGTTTGTAGCTTAAAGTGGTCCCATTAACATTTTTTTGTAAAGATGGTTTAATGCTGATAAACTCTTTTAGCTTTTACTTGTTTGGTAAACTCTGTGAGTTCTTCAATTCTAAATGATAAGTTTACTGGGTAGAGCATTCTTGCTTGGAAGTTCGTTTTCTTCTTTATAAACAAGAACTGTTATCTTCTTTAACTGAAATCAGCAACTTTTTCTTTTTTATTTTTAATATGTTTTTATTGATTTTTAGAGGAAGAGGCATAAAGAGATAGAAACATCAATGAGAAAGAAACTTCCATCAATCAGCTGCCTCCTATACACTCCTTACTGGGATTGAGCCAGCAACCCAGGCATATACCCTGATGGGGAATTGAACCATTGACCTCTTGGTTCCTGCATTGATGCTCAACCACATGGCGGGACAGCAACTTTTTCTTTTTCTCTTTGAAATATATCAAGTATATTTCTTAAATTTTGCCAAAAGTGTGTTGCCCTTTTCAAACTCTCTATTATAATCTGGCCTTAAATGAATTTATGGTGATATCAACTTCAATGTTCCAAGTTGAGGATGAAGTTGGTGCTGATTGTAATAGATTCGTTCATTTACAACACAACATTTTTCCATTACAAAAAAAATTGATTATAATTATTGTTTATTCAACTATAATCACTATTATTGTGCACTTTAAAGAGAGTTGAGGCACAAAATAATTGTGTTTCCTTAAGAGAAAAAATATTCCCTATGTGATTTACCTTCCTTTATTCTTTTTTCTTTCTTTCTTTCTTTCTTTCTTTCTTTCTTTCTTTCTTTCTTTCTTTCTTTCTTTCTTTCTTTCTTTCTTTCTTTCTTTCTTTCTTTCTTTCTTTTTTTGTTTACACCTCGCTTGAGAATATTTTTTCCATTGATTTTTTAGAGAGAATGGGAGGGAGAGAGAGAGAGAGCAAGCATATGTGAGAGAGACAGATATATCAGTTGCCTCCCGCATGTGCCTCGACTAGGGCCTGGGATTTCCCAGGTACATGCCATTGACTAGGAATCAAACCCACAACCCTTCAGTGGAGGGGCCAATACTCTACCACTGAGCCACACTGGCCAGGGCCCGTGAGTGATTTCTAATGGCTAGTATATATATATATTTGGGGGTGGGGGTGGGGGAGATATATTAACCAAAGAAAATACAAAATAATTGTGAAGTAGCCAGTCTTGACAAAAAGGATTTAGGGAGGGTGGAGGACGGAGCAGGAATAAAACATCATACCAAGTAATTATTTCAAGTGCTCAAGAAGCATGCTAAAATGTATAGCTCCCTCATGACATTAATAAAACAAAGAAACATTTGTTGAGCACATACTGTAAACCAGAAATGTTCTAAGAAGTAGAAGAATCAAAGATAATGAAACCATTCTCTTTGTCTCACTAGGGTGAGACAATCTGCTAAATCCTGTGGCAGATAAACAGTTTAATATTCTTAATTGAGTTGTTGCAAAATCCAATGTGAAATAAAATAAATTCATATTTTTAATTCAAAATATATATTGTAAACAAAAACTTTTTAATTTAGCTTTTACATATAAAATAGAAAAAAGATTAAAAGTTATTTCATTTATAGAAAACAGTTGAAATTGCCCTTTATTATATACTGTTTTTGAATTAATAGAACATCTAACACTTTACTTCTGAAAGTTCCTAGACACTAAAGTTGTAAAAGATTTTTTAAAAAAATTTTTTAATTGAGAGAGAGAGAGAGAGAGAGAGAGAAAGAGAAACATCAATGTGAGATAGAAATGTCTATCAGCTGCCTCCCACACGGGCCCCATCTGGGGACCAAACCTGCAACCTGGGTATGTGAACCCACCATTGTCCAGTGTATGGGGAAATGCTAAAACCAACTGAGCCTCATCAGCCAGGGTTTTAAAAGACCTTTATATATCCAAGAGCTCATATTAGATTTTTAAAGTCATATTTATTACATCTCAGACCATTTACTATTGCCTGGAGGATGCTTCAGGTAAATCTGGCACTGGGATGAAGGGATTTAAAATCTGTAAGTTCTTTAAAGCTGGTCATTCTTTTAAAAGTGTTTTATTAATCCTGCTTTGTGTTCATTTTTTTTTTTGGAGTTCAAATCTTTAAAATGCTACAAAATATTTACCAGTATCTGAATCTAAGTTCAATGATTACTCTCCTAAAACCCAGAAGCTAAAAATATTTGAAGTTGAGAAACACAGGACTTTGAGGAGAGAGAGGGGTCAGACCTTGTCTTACATACCCTTTACATTCATTACAGTCACACAAGACAGGACTCATTAACAGAGGAAATGTGTATCATTTTTGTACAACATAAATTAGCAGTAACATGCTATTACCATGGTCTTTGTCCTGCTTTGCTCCCCAGATATGTTCCCCACAACTTCTGTGATAATTAAAATTCTCAGTGGCTTTGCTGTTGGCACTTTGCACTCTAAGAGTATTTGTATTTGCAGTGTATTCCAGTGTTCAGGCTTTTCAGCTTTGCTGGTCAGGGTTACTAGCTTTTATTTCCCATTTTGATTTCAGGGACTCTATATAACTTACTGGAAGACTTAACATGAAAAGTAATATTTTCCATATAATTTAATGTGCACATTGTACACAGCTGAAAAATCATTTCTCCAATTATTTATGGCTTTATAATTTGTTTTGATAGGCAAACTCTGGACAAGAAGTATGAAGGTTGCTTACAACATTCTGCATAAATTAGGTACAAAGCAAGAACCAATGGTGCGACCTGGAGACAGGGTAAGTGCAATTTAATTTATTACAGCTCCAAAACACATTGTCTTATGTGGAAAAGATGCCCACTGTAATAAAGTTGGAGAGTCCAATGTCACCTAAAACTGGCACTACTAAATAAGACTCCCTTTAAAAAAACAAAACACGCGCAACATATTTTTGTTGATTTTAGAGAGGAAGGGAGTGGAAGATAGAGATAGAAACATCAATAATGAGAGAGAATCACTGATTGACTGTTTCCTGGATGCCCCACACTGGGGATAGAGCCCACAAATCATGCATGTTCCTTGACTGGGAATCGAACCCTGACCTCCCAGATCACAGGTTGATGCTCAATCATTGAACCATGCCGGACGACCAATAAGACTTTCTTAACATTATGTAACAAATAATTTAATCTTGAACAACTCAATGGGCTTAACTAGAGTACTTCTCACTTTCTATCCATGAGTTTACATGGACTTGAGAAGTTAAGTCTCAAAATCAGATGCAGGCAGAGAACTAGTAAGTGGCATAGTCAGCACTCCTATCCATTTCCGTCTGACCCCAAAGCTGTGTCATATATTGTCTCCTATTTTGAAAAACACTGTACATCTACTTGAGCATACAGGACATTTATATTTAATTTTTTTTTTTTACGTTAGTGAAATCAACAATCTTGGCAGCAAACTGCTAGTACCATTCCTTCCTCACTGTTAAATTTCTTGATATTTGCTGTGTTTCACCGAAAAGCAAATTTTTATTCGTACTGCAATCTGATAAGTTATGGAGGACAGATATTGGTATTTCCATTTCAGGGTTATACTCACAGCAGGTAAAAAAGGATAGTTGTTATATGCTTCTACATATATGAAGTACTTAGAGTAGTTAAATTTAGAGATAGAAGAATGATGGTCACCAGGGGCTAGAGCATTGGGAATTATCATTTAATGGGGATAGAGAAGAGCAAAAAGTTTAGGAGATGGATGATGGTGATAGTTACACAACAATGTGAATGTATTTAAATCTACAGAATTGTACCCAGAATTGTACACTTGAAAGTAGTAGAGATGAACTATGTTATATATAGGGTTCCCCCCCCCCAAAAAAAAAAAAACCACCCATACACACACTTTAAATATTTATAAAGGCAGTGTTTATTAAAATACATTTAATTTTCAAAATTGAGCTATCAGCTGTTACATGTATATATTTTACCACAATAAAAATGTTAGTTGTGGGTGGGTATGTATGGGGGTGGGGGGTAAAATATGTACACAGATAATAATTTAATAAAAAATAAAAGATTCAGATATTTTAAAAAATGTTAGTTATAATATGTCTCCCTTATCTATAACTTGGTTATACTAATACCCTTAGTATTTTAAAAAACTTTTTTTGTAGTATTGCCTGCAGATTCTTGAAGTTCCCTTATAATTAAAAAATAAATCACGTCTGTTCAGCTAAGTTTATAGCAATATGGGGGGAGGAGAGCACAGTTGATAGAATAAAATATGTAAAGGAATTTTTTTTGTTAGTGGCTGGTTTGTGTTGTATGAGGGGGACTACGTTTCTAAGTTATTCTCTGAAAATTATTTATGTGGTGGTGACGTGGCCAAGATGTTGGAGGGGGAGACGGCTGCCCCATCAGGCTGGCCAGGGGTGGAGGCCGGATGCCCCCAATTACCATTGCCCCCCCCTCCCATACATACCCACCCACAACTAACATTTTTATTGTGGTAAAATATATACACTGTAATAGCTGATAGCTCAATTTTGAAAATTAAATGTATTTTAATAAACACTGCCTTTATAATTATTTAAAATTATTTAAAATTGAAGAATTTTTTTGTTTCAAAAAATTGTTCCCAATACCACTGGGGTCAAAGTATCTCTTAGGAGCTTAGCTGGCCCCGCCCCCTCCACGTGGTCACCATGGAAACGTGGTGCCTGCATTCCACACTCCACTTTCATATTGCTAGCTGTGAAAGAGGAAGGTTCCTGCTCTATCTGCTGGAGAAGGGAAGGGATGAAGCAGCAGCATCAGGTGCTATGCTAGCAAGGGAGCCTAGCAGAATCGGTGGTGAGGATCTGGCATCGCCGAGGACGGGACTCCTGACCAAAGGAGGACGACTACAATCTAATGGAAATGAACCAGGGGACACAGAGGCCCCAAATCCTGAAACTGCCTGAAATACTGAGATCCCGGGAGGTGAAGCTTAGCTCCAATGGCAAGAGAAAAACCATTCAGTTTTCCCTGGACGCTAATGAAGAGGAAGCCACAGCCCCCAGAAGCCAGGATGGCAGTGCCTGCTCCAGGGCCGCAATGCTGCTGAGAGCCAGAGCGCCAGATAGGCCAGGTAGGGCCTTGATGACTCAGGGAGAGACCATCAGGACTGCCCTGCGGAGGAGGTCGGCCACGCCCACTTGGGCTGAGGCACCAGTGCCGCTCAAGACCGACCCAGTTAGTATCCAGGTGAGCTGGGACCCACGGGGGTTCTGGACAATGGACACTAGTACTAAACTCAGACCCCAGGAACCAGGAATACTTCCCACAAGGGAGGACACCAGTAGTCCCCCTCCATCATATTTTCGTTTAGTAAATGATTTTTTGAAGCCAGAGAAACCAACAAAGGCAGCAGTGAGGCTTATAAAAAAGACAGTGGAAGTGATGAAATTTGATCACCAAATAAGAGAAACTAAAATCCAGCAAAAAATGGTGACGGAGGAAGCTGCATTCCTCCTCAATGAAAAGTTACCTGTTCAGGCTGGCACTACAGTCATGCTAGCAAACCTGACTAACAAAGCCAAGGAGTACAGAAGGGAAATTGAAAATCAGTGGCACAACTATGCACAAGAAAGTGGTGAGATCTTATCAACAAAACAAGAATTAGCTTCCAGATGCGCAAAACCAACTTCAGAGATCTGGGGGAAGCAAAAGTTGGAATACAATTTGAAGCAGCAGTTGAAGGCAATGAGGAACATGTGGCAGGTAAGGGAGAAACAGCAGAAAGAATTGCAGACATTACAGGAGAAGCTAAAGAAAGCTCGAGCTAAGACAGCTGCAAAGGCCCAGGCTCGATACCTCCAGGAAAAAGCATTTCTGGAGAAGCAACTGGATGAACCAGCCATGGACATGTTGGGAAAGAGAGAAGAAAAGGAACTAAAAAGGAAGGTCCAGGCTTTAGAAGTGGCAGCAGAGAGGCGTGCTTCTGAGTTGCACCGCCTCCAAAAAGAGGAGGAGGAATCACACCAGGAATTAAAACAGCAGCCCCAGAAGTCCTGGGTGGAAAAGACTCCCCAGAGCTGGTTAAAGCTTCAGAAGCAGCATCTGCAAAAGCATTGGTGTGTGAAACGCATGCCAGAGAGGCAAGAACCGCACCCTGTGGCCTCAGGACCACCGCAGGTTGCTCCAGAACCACCGCAGGTTGCTCCAGAACCACCACAGGTTGCTCCAGGACCACCACAGGTTGCTCTAAAGACCAGAAGAAGAAGTTCTTACTTAACCACCGAATCCACTCAGTCCACGTTAGTTTCGAAACTGTCATAGGTTCAGTAAGGACTGGAGCAAGTATTCCTAGGTTCTGCATAAACCTGGTTAAGGTTTTTAGACCTCCTTACCACTGAAAACTATCCATCATGATGTGTTAATATGAAGGATTAGGTGCATTTTTACATCTGAACTGCTAGATATTTGTGCTATCAGCTTCCCTTAATTAGGATTTTCTTTAATTAGCTCCAGTTAGTAAACAGGATGTTCCTCAGGTCTTCAGATAACCTAACACCGTTTGCCAAACACTCATACATGAAAAGAAGTTGAGGAAACCACCTTGAGAAAGTGAAAGGAAAACAGTTGTGTGATTTATGTCAGCTAGCTGAAGCAGATTTCTTTATAAAGCACGTTTAAGGATAGCATCTCAGATTGACTTTATATTGTGCTTTCTGCTCTTCAACCAACCAACATCAGTTTACCCTCATTTCCTTTTGGCCAATTCAACACAAAGGCAAAATGTTTTTAAATATTTTTTAAAGAAATGTGTGCCAGTGACCAGGTAGCCCCTTCTATAGTTTGCTTATGAGTGAAAAGGTATTCTTTCAACATCAAGATCAATAAACACTAGGCAGAATGACCTTTTTTATCTGAGGCAACCCTTACTGTTTTAACTTTCAGTAAATTGAGAAGGAAGATAGAGGGGGTGTATATTACCTCAACTCTTTTGAAATATTTTTCTATGAAATACATTTACAATTAATAAGGTGGCTGAATACCTCTGCTTGTTTTGTCAAGTATCAAAAGTAACATTTTAAATATTTTGATGACTTTTTAGTCTTGTGCCATCTCTGTAGCAACACCCTAAATTCTAGGATGACAATGTTACTTAATGTTAACTATAGTAAATACTCTAGTTTCAGGTCCCTTATTACATTTTTATACTGTGTGCACTTAATAGTGTATGAAATTACCTTTTGTAGTTAACATGTGTCATATATTTATGCTTATTTAATAGAACTGGGAACAGTATTTTAAATTAGTATAGACTTTAATTTTTTTCATTTATGACATATTGATGTTTAGACCAATGATTTGTTTGAATGCTGAGTTCTAGTACAGAAATATAATCCTATATGTCAACATTGCTTCTCTATGGGGAAATATAATCAACTATATGTTTTCTGGAAATTGTCAGTAATGAAAAACTTCAAAATAACTTCCTTGAACTTTATTTTATTTATGTGTAAAATGAATTCTTTTAAATTGCATTACACAAAGGACTCTCCCTCAAAGTGCCTTTAACTTCTACCTTTAACAATTTTTCTGTTAAATATTCTTTAATAAAAAAGTATTGTTATTAAAAAAATAAAGCCTACTTGGATTTCAAATTGTATTTATGTGGCTAGTATCTGGCATGTGTGTGTAAATATTTATTAAATAAGCATATGGGAGCAAAGCATTCAATAATAACTTTCTGTTGCCATAAACAGGATACTTGGAAAATCATTTTTTGATGAACATTCAGTCCTTAGCATAAAAATTATAGGTACTTTTCATGTGGATGATCCTTCCTATTAATGAGGTTTGGGGAATACCTTCTTGGGCTTTGAAAGGGGCATTGAAGTACCTAAGCTGAGTAGGTTTCAGGATGTTGGAGGAGGAGCTGTGGAAGATACAAGACTTATCACATAAGAAGCCTATCTTTAAGGAGCTGGCAGTCTTAACAAAAACAAAATCCAGACATATTGATCATTAGCTTTTCTATAAATTGGAAAGGGATACAGGTCTTCAAGAGATATAGTGATTGATACACCTGTGAACTGTTTGGGAAGGAGAGAAAGATCTCTTTCAGTGAAAAAAAGTAAGGCCATGAACTCCAAGGAAGAGCATGTGAAAGAGCTGGGGGTGGGGGAACAGAATGTATTGTGCTGAAGAAGACAATCCAAGCACACACACTAGGGTTGAGTGTAGGAACAAGATGGAATCGGCTTAACAAAATTTAAATCTTAGCAAACACTAGGATGGGCTACTGCATCTTGCTTTATTAATGTCTATTCTGAGTCTGTGGATAATTAGGTTCAATGAAATCTCAAAGGAATACATAGAGAATCAAATTAATGGAAACTGTGTGGGTTTATGATATCTTCGGAATCACTGTGAAGAGACCACAAAACAGGGCTTGCAACTGATCGGGTATTGAAGGGAAAAATGAGAATGATGAAAGTACAAACTTCCCTTCCTTAAAAAATTTTTGAAAAAATATATATATATCATTTTTTATTCTAAAAGAGCCTTTGGGTATTTGATCATTTTCTACCCATTATTTTAATATGATTGAGAGCTTATAATGTATAGTTTTATATTCTTTTATTTTACATTAATACATTTCTTCCTATCTTAACACAACTCTGCAAGGTTATATAAATGGCATTATCAGCATAACTTTTAGTGATATAGAGCGGGGGACTTTAAATCCTAGATCAAGTTGACCTTTCTTTGAGCAGAGCTGGGATGGCAGCTAAACTCAAATCTCGGAAACATAATTGCTGCACAGTCCAGCTCAGAAGGGTGGCACCTTCTTTCTCTGTTCTCTGCTTGTGATGATGACTCCCACCTGCAGAACAGGTAGATTTTAGGGAGAACAAGTCAGTGTGTAACGGTTCCCTTATGAATGGGTGAGACCATTCGTTTCAGATGGAACTTCAGTGTGTTCTGCTTTTTTATTGCAGTTTGATCAGCTTCCTTAAACATTTTAATCTGTGTCAGGGAAAGAAGTCATGCAGCAATGGTAGCCTGGAAGATTTGCAAACATTTAATAGAATATTCTTGCTTCGCCAGATCCAGATCTAAAGACAGATCAACTCTCAGCCTACCAGCTGAGGGCAGAACACCGGAGGCTGATGCACACCTCAGATAGGTTTTAAAAATAATTGGTTGTGCTTTGTGTGCGTAGACATACATTCCTCCTTGAAAATCCTATCGCTGGTAGCCTGTTAAAGGATTACTATTTAATTAATTATTTCATAGGATTTCTCAATATTCTATTAGTAGTACAGATGGCTTTTATTGGCCTTTTAGCTTTTGCCTCTCGTTTAGATGATTTTAGTAAACTTCAGGAATTTCATAGAGAAAGAAAATATTCCCAAACTTAATTTTGTTCCCACTGGCCATCCTGTATTACTAAATTGCGAACATGGTCAAATTTAAGATACAGCTTTATCGGTTTGCAGCTGCATCTGAATCCTTTTATGTGGCTCTGTCTCTAGATATTAAAATAGAGTGTTTTATACAGCTGTTTATGACAAAACTACTAACTTCTAGTTAGGACATTTTTTAAAGAAAAAATAATAAGTTTTGGAGTATGCTAGTGCAAAGATGATATACATGTGCTCAGTCATGGGATGTATGTGCTTTGAAAACACACCAGACTTATAAGGAAGAATATCGCCGATGCTACGGCAGCATGTGAGAGGGACTCATGTTTAAAACAAAGCAAAGTCCTGGAGAGCATAGTGGAGAATCCAGAAACAGGACTTGGTCTGTTACAACTTGAGATCCTAAAGCAGCCTTCTAATGCAAGAGACTAGGACAGGCTACTCCAGAAGGTGCATTGGGGTGGCTGGAGGGCAAATAAGGCTAAGTTCAATTAGCTACTCTGCAGACACTAGGATGAGCTCCAGATGAATTTAAGTCAGATGAAATATTTTTTAAATGATAGATGGTAAAGGAAAAGTTTGACAAATTTACATAAAACATTAAATGCACCAATAAAAATAAAACAATTATCTCAAGAAGTCTTTGTACCAAATATAAGAGTTAATACTATCAAATATGTTTAGGGCAGTGGTCGACAAACTTATTAGTCAACAGAACCAAATATCAACAGTACAACAATTGAAATTTCTTTTGAGAGCCAAATTTTTTTAAACTTAAACTTCTTCTAACGCCACTTCTTCAAAATAGACTCGCCCAGGCTGTGGTACTTTGTGAAGAGCCACACTCAAGGGGCCAAAGAACTGCATGTGGCTCGAGAGCTGCAGTTTGCCGACCACGGGTGTAGGGGTATTGTCAAAACACTAACAGATAAGTAGGCAAGGGAAATGAAAAGCAGTTCGTATGAGGACATGGGCTTATAAGCTATCCCATGGAAAATGGCTCATCACTAAGATACTCTAAGGACTATAAGAAAATATATTGTAGTCATAGTTATTTGGTTATTTGGATGGTAATTTAAATTAACCTGGCTTTTAGAACATTTACCACAAAGCTAAGATGTAGGTTCTAGTGTTCTCCTTTTTCAAATGAGACTACTAGGGCTTAAAGGAGCTAAAATTGTGCCAGAGAGCCCAGAGCTAAACCTGACCCTGGTCTGAATAGAGTCCCATGAGGGTCCAACTGCCAGCCCAGCACACTGGTGAGGAAGCACCCGCATTCAGCCGTGATTGTGAAGACTCTGAGGAATTTTTCATAACGCCAGTGGAAAACAGAACAGTGTGTGCACTATAGTTTCTTCTACCTAAAAATATGTCAACATGGAAGATAACATTAAAAAATGATAGTTGTATTCTGGTACAGTATTATAGAAAACTTGGTAATATGTGTTTCACATGAATTAAAGGAAAGGTATATAATACTTAGTAAAATGTGTCTGCCTAAAATGCATTTTTAAGTATGGCACCTAGTTTTTGTTCCAGCATTTGTTCTTAATGGGAATGTGAACCACATTATCTGTGACGGGTTACATCCTTTCATGATATCTTCAAAGCCATGTTAACAGTAAGTCCTTCTTCCCTCCCGCTCCTCCCCCTCCCCTCCCGCCCTTCAGGTGGCATTGGTGTTCCCCAACAACGACCCTGCTGCATCCATGGTGGCCTTCTACGGCTGCCTGCTGGCTGAGGTCGTTCCTGTGCCCATAGAAGTACCACTCACGAGAAAGGTAAGGCACGGTTGTTTCATTAAAGCCTGCTAATGGGAATGGCAGGCTCGGCTACACTGGAACATTCTCTCATGAGGTCAGAATGCTTTTCATCTCAGCAGGGTGTGGATCAAAAGGCACTTGTTTCTGAGGCTGTCAGGTTTTCAGCAATTAGCTCAGTGAAGGGGACAGTAACCTCACACTCGGCTCAGCTGCACTGGTTAGAAGGAGCAGTGTCTCTGAGGCAGAGCTGCTATGCATTGTAACACCACTGAGCCAAGTAATTTGTTAGTAAAGCAAGTTTCTGTGTGTGTTGTTCCTCAGCATCATTACACTGGAAATAGGGTAAGTGACAGATTTTTTATTTTTTATTTTGAGGGTTGGCAGTTGTTGCTTTCATTCAGATGTTTGGACATTATCAAGTCCCAGGTTCAGATACAGCTTATGATTATAATTTCAGATACAGCTTATTATTATAATTAGCTACTTATTCCATAATTAGAATAAGTAGCTAATCTTATTCTTATAATGATAGTGTCCAGTATAAGAAGGAATGTTGTGCTGTCCTGCACACTGGAGTATGTTTTTTCGTCCACGTGAATGACTTGCTCTCCATACTCCAGAGCAATGGTAACTGGAGGGAGAAAGATAGAGGGAGGAAACCCTACAGGGTTGACAGATGGTCTGATGTTGTCCAGGGAGCCACAGCTGCCAGCCAAAGAGTGGTCCCCTCTGACACTCAGGCTCTGTGACTTCAAAACATGACATTTGTTTTCTTAGAGAACTTCTCTTCATTTTAAATAAAAGAAGCATTGGCTCAGGTACAGCTGAGAAGAGGGTAGGACGTACATATGAGCATAGGTGATGACACGTTCTGTTCCCACTGGACTTGTCTTAAAATAATGGGCCTAATGTGAACCAAATTTTCTGAATCCTGAATGTTGCTTATTTAACCTGACTGAACAATTAGTCCCATGTACCTTATTTATCCTCTGTTCTAATTCTTGGGGTCAGTGTTCCTGCGATTTTTGACATGGAGAGGAGTATCCACATGTCTGTGCCAGGACAGGCCTTGAGCGGTCACAGCAGATCTGAAAAAGCCTGCCACTAGTACCCTCTCCAGGTGGCTGAGCTGATCTGGTAAGGCCAGCCATCAGCACAAATCTGTCGGCTGGTGACTCCGTGGACACAGTCTCTCCTTCATGGACACAGGCTCTGCCACGGGCATGTGAATTTGACAGGAAAATAGCAAGACCTTCAGGATGGGGGTCAAATGTGAATATTCTAAGTAGGATAGGCTCTGTGGGCCGCAGGAGTCAGCCAACCAGGGCCAGCCACTCAGCATTCACTTCTTCCCCTTGGAATTCTAACACTCCGGCCTTTTGTTTGCCTTAGTAAAGGTTTTCAAATATCCCATTAAAATGAAATATCTGTGGAAGGGGTAACATCAATGACTCGTCACATTTTTACAACCTCCTATGATCAGTCCCAGAATCTCTTTCTCAGGAAATCGGAAGTAGTAAGGAGATCATGAGAACCAGGTCTTGTTGGGAGGGACCCCATAGGCTGCCCAGAGCAACCATCAGCCAGCCAAAGTGTAAGTGCATGAATGGATGTCACCCACACGGGAGTCTGCGCGCGCATGTGCGTGCATATGTGCGTGCGTGTTTGGGGTGAGATTTGGATTTGCCAAATGTTGATACTAGTTATCGGAGCTGGATGAATAGGTTCATGGGCTTTCTTTTTCCTTTTCTCTTTATTTGTATGTGTGCTTGGAAGTTTCCATATAAATAAAAAGTTAGAAACTAATTGGAAAAAATATACATATATATTATTGACAAGTTCATCTTAGTTTTGATAAGTAAAATGTGTCCAGTTTCTTTGCTCCGCGTGGTTCCATGGCCATGGATCATCTTAAAACACTTGGGTCTGCAGCATTTTGTGTTGAAATGGACTTCCGTCCATCTCTCCATCATGTCTTTTATTGTTATCTTTTTTACTTCCTGAGAGCTAACCAGCCATTAGTTGGCGATTTGGGTGGGCAAGAATGGAATTGGATAAATTAACTGTAACTAGTTGTTGTGGGGCCACAAATAAAAATGAATTCAAGAAAGAGGCTTACCATGAACTTATCTCTTCTTTATTTAAGAGAGAATCCTTTTTATGGTGTGATTGATGGTTGCTGGCGAGGAGATGGAGATGGGACTGGGGTAGATGATGATCAAGTGACATGTCCACGTGGCCTGTCCAATGTTTGGGGAGTTACTTGTCAGGCAGAGGTGAGGTGAGACTTCTAGGAAGTGACTTAATTAGTCAACTCTCTACATATTGGAGAAAAATTGAAAGTAGAGAAAGGTTTGAATTCAGGTGAGGTCCATTTTTTGTCTTGGCAACTAAAGAATCATAACTGAGGTTTTGTGATGGGAGAGCTGACCATCCTTGATAGCATGGCTCTTCAGAGGAAGGGTCCTAGCCAAGTGGTCGCCCACAGACCAGAGTAACTTCACTCCCAGGAAAAAGGCACAGAGAACATGTCACGGCAGGAGGGAAGTGTGTCGTCACATTATCCTGAGTCTGCTGATGGCACATCAGGCCAGGAGACAGGTTGACAAGGCCTGGTCTGAGAGCACCATGTGGCGGCTGCGCAGGGCATGTCCAGCCTTCTTGTCCTTGTCCTCAGAGTCCAGGAAGAGACACAGCTTTGACATTGTGTGTTGAGTGTCTCTACATGCGAGGCTCTGCTCTAGGCTCTAAGTTCAAGAGTGTGTTTTCAGGGGTCTTGATGCATGAAGAAGATGCCCAGGCTGCCCTGTCAGTACACTGGGGTGCGGCTGGCAGAGCTGTTCTGTGAAGTTGACATTTGATCGGAGCTCTCAGTAGGAATTGCCCAGATGACAAGGACAAGAAGGTCCTTCCAACAAAGAGGGAGCAGACATGAAGTCTGGATTTTGTGCTGAACTGTGGCATTCTGATCCCAGTTACTCCTTCCCATGTGGTCTCTTGTCTCTTCTTCTGTATTTTAGGTGTCTTTTCATGTTTGTGAATCCATTATATTTTAAAACAAATCATGAGCAGATGTTGGAAAGACAGGGTTCAGAGGACATCATGCCTCCTCTGGGAGTGCCAGGATCAGCATGTATGCCCTCGGCATGAGCACCAGCCCTTGGCAGGTCAGGGCAGGTACCTGCTGGCATGCTTGCTCCCAGCCCCTCTTGCTGTAGACAGAGTAGCAAACTCACTCTCACAAAGGAACGCCTTCCTGCTACTGATTCTGATCTTGGGATCTGCCTCCCCTCCCTGCTGTGAGATCATGGTGTTTGGCAATGGGATATCCAAATTCACATTGAAGTGACTGATTATAATTGTGCTTGAAATAGCATTGCTTAAAGGAAACATACTGTGAGCACCCCCGAAAGGGACCATCACTGTTCCCGGGTGCCAAGCCTGTCCCCTCTCTGGTGTTGGGGGTTGTGTGTGTACAATCCCATGAAGAGAGATGTGCTTTTCCCTGGGGGGTTACAGCTACAATAAGAAAAGTAGAAACTGTTCACTTGAAAGACTACAGTTTTAAGATGTCAACTCTGTTGATATTACTCATGAGAAAACACCACATGGTCTCACATTTTTCTTATCGAGGCACAGACAGGCAGCGTGACAGGTAGCCAGGCATCTGGCCCACTGATAGGCTTGCTCATTGTCCGGGGGTTCAGGCAGAGTCCAGTGGGAATGAACAGAGGTGATGGCTCATCACAGTCATGCAGTTTTGGCTCTAGCAGTGCAGCTCTTACACGGTGTGAGTCACAGCTGGTGTGGCAGGTGGGAGGAAAGAACTCGAAGTGACCTGACTTCTCACAAGGCAGCTGACACAATAAGCAACAAAACCCACACAGCTGGCGGTTCCTTTGGCCGCCCCACCAGCAGCAGCTGCTCAGACGCCGTGTTCCTCCGTCGGAGCTGGTCATTCCGAGGCTCCCAGTGTGCTCAGTGTCACCGGAGTCCATGTCATACTTGTCTAATGCATGTTCTTATTTCTTGAGACAGTGGTGCTCATGGTGGGGAAAGCTGACCAGGTCTCCATTTCTTTGGTAGATGTAATCAAATGTGGTAGAGCCCTTTGCTCTGAGGGTTTAAAGTCAGGCAGTCGGTAATTATTCAGTATAAGACATTTTCTTGGACGTTTTCTGTTTCCCCCAATACTTATGCCCTACAGTCGTGGTCCACAGAATTGAGGGTCATTAGTGCCAGCCCCACACTGAGTACTTCCCTGTGCTCTCCTGGTTTTTCACTCGCAGTAGATGTGTGAGATGGCTCTGCCTTTCGCCCCATGGTGCAGATGAGGGAAGTGAGGCCATGCAGGCTAGCTACCCCATTCAAAGCCACACAGCTAGCAAGCAGCAGCTGGGCTCTTACTCCAGTTCTGCAGAGCCCAGTCTTTGCCGAAACCATGGGTTGTCCAGGGAGGTTCGTTCCATCCCAGAACCCAGGGTGAGGCCTTGTTTTGCCAGGAGTGCCACTGTCATCTCGTCTCCGTGCCTCTTCTGTCGCCCTCTCCCAGGACGCAGGAAGCCAGCAAATCGGCTTCTTGCTTGGCAGCTGTGGGGTTACTGTTGCCTTGACCAGCGACGCCTGCCACAAAGGACTGCCAAAGAGCCCCACAGGGGAGATCCCGCAGTTCAAAGGTAAGACAGTGCTCTGAGTGCTGCGTTAGGAGGCAAGCTCTTCACTGGGAAAAGTGGTACAACATGGAATCAGTTCCAGAGCATACCATTTCCACACGCACATGTCTCAGGCAGCACACCGCATGTTCTCAGCCTCCCCGTGGCATGATTTGACTGGCAGAGGCTTTTGCACTGTGGATGTGGTCCTTAACAGAAACACCAGAGGTTCCCCCTAGCATGTGGTGGTGTGAAGCATAACCATGAATGGGGAGGTGATGCCACACTCTTTTCTGGGAAATGGTCACCTAAAGAGAATTTGTCCTTTATTTCCAAGGTTGGCCAAAGCTATTATGGTTTGTCACCGAGTCAAAACATCTCTCTAAACCTCCTCGAGACTGGTTTCCACACATCAAAGATGCAAATAATGATACCGCATATATTGAGGTAAGTCACTGGGCATGGGACTTTAGTTACACAGCTCCAGGATCAGGACCTGCAGCCTCTTTCTTACCCAGAAGAGCTGATGGATGTGGATCCTGCTTTGTTCTTCCATCCCACTCATCCCCACATTGCCATCTCGTTTCAGTATAAGACGTGCAAGGATGGAAGTGTGCTCGGGGTGACGGTGACAAGGATTGCACTGCTGACCCATTGCCAGGCTCTGACACAGGCGTGTGGCTACACAGAAGGTATTTTTTGGGGGGGACCCTCTGGGACCCTCCCTGAAGGACCCTGACTCCAGACCTTGGCCTGTGAGATGCGTGCTGACCAGCCAAGGGACTGTGCTGTTCCCACTAGTAACCATAAGAGACATGTTAAGTTTGCGCCTAACACAAGTGCAAGTTAACTTGAGTTTAGGTAGTGTCTCAGCTCTGGCTGCCATAACAAATCCCACATCCTGAGGCTCGAACAGCAGACTTTTGTTTGTCACAGTGCTGGCTGGAAGTCTGAGATGAGGGTGTCATCAAAGTTGGTTCCTGATGGTGAGCACCTTTTTCTGGCTTGCAGGCAACACCATCTCTGTGTCTTCACATGGCCTTTCCTTTGTGCACGTGGAGAGAGCGAGAGAGGTGGTGTCTCTTCCTCTTCTCACAAGGACACTGGCCCTATTGGATCAGGTTCTACCCTTTGCCCCTTAGAGGTCCCATCTCCAAATTCAGACACTCTGGGGTTAGGGCTTCCACCTATGAACTTGAGGGGACCCTACTAAGGCTGCAACAGATCATTAATACCAAATGTATTCATCTCTGGCTGCACTTCAGAAACTCTGAAAGCATTAAAAATGTCCCATGTTCGCTCACCCCTACCAACTGAATCAAGTTTCTGGGCATGGGATCAATGAGCTCTAGGGGTGGGCTATGCTGTTGAGACCAGTTGTTTTTATGATGTACCAGATGGGATGGTCATGGAGGCAAGAGCTAGGGTGACCAGAGGAAACTGGTATTTAGTCCTGACCTGGGATCCTAGAAGGTCAGACCAGATACCAGTTAACCCTCGGGAGCCTCTGTGACAGGGCTCTGTGGTGGGGATGTGCCCGAGGAGGCTGATGGCATTGTTGCTCCACTCTAACCTGAAATGCTTTACTTTTTTCTGTTTTTCTAGTTCCGTTTCTCTCCCCCACACACCTCCTTTCCTTCTGGTAGTCTCCCTTAAAAAAAAAAAAAAATTCACTTAGCTTGTGAGATGTTCTGCTAATTTTTGTCCCTGAACAAATTTCCAGGACATTTTTACACATTGTCTCTAATTATTACCAGCCTACTCGCCCGTGTTCTCCATTTTAATTTCAACATTCCTTACAAGTCCTGACCCATCACCTTGCCCTAAACAGAGGTCCAAGGTTGTCACTCTTGTGGGGTTGGAGAGAGAAAATAATATGTTTTCTCCTTATTTCGATATAAAAATACTTGTATAACATGGACTAGAGACTGTTTCCTTAGAGCATATTTATTTTGAAAGCCCTTCGGCCCATCCTTTCTGAAATGGGGTCAGACAGAGTGATGAAACTTTGGCAAGCATCTCCAGAGCAAATACGTAGAAATGGAAGACGGGGCATCAGTTAATGCCTGGGGCTCAGCTCTTGGTGGCCTTGAGCAGAGGTGTAGGCAGCTGGGCCCCCTCCCCCGGCCAATAGACAGATGTGACTTCAAGAGGAATGTTCGTGGTGTCGCAGGCAGCTGGCTCTCCAGCCTGGCTTCCATGTTCCATGTTGTAGTTGTTCCAACCATGTCTTTTTAGCTCCTTTTTCTTTCTCCCGCCTTTAAAAAGCACCCCCCCCATAACTCCTGATTGCTCCCCCATTCTCCTCTTCCAAAACCCCTGCCTCCTTTATCACCCAGCCCCACCCCTGAGACTTCTTTGGTGCAGCATATGGTGTTTGCTGGAAACTGCCTGGTCCTCTGGATTTCCTGGGAGAACACATGACAGAAATGAAAAGAATCCTTTTTAAAAAAGGAAAAAGGCAGGGAAGGGGGAAATCTGTATATAAAAAGGGAAGGAATAAGGTGCTTTAAGTGCTAGTGTGAGGAGCTATTGCTATAAACGTGCATGTAAGAATGCTGTCTAGAAACTAAGATTGTTAGGAGAAACCCTGATGTTTCTGGCAGGCTAGCCTTTTTAAATAGGTTTGCAAGCTGCAGACTTTCTGCAAAGACACTGTGAAATGATCGTATTCCAACATCCGTTGCTACCTCTGATGGGACGCTAGGTTTTCTTTGCCCTGTACATGTTTTTAATAAGTAAGAATCTTTTATTCTTTTTATTTGCACAGCTGAAACAATTGTGAATGTGTTGGATTTCAAGAAAGATGTTGGGCTCTGGCATGGAATCCTCACAGTAAGTGTGAAGCTGGGCCCTGCTGTGTCCTTGTTACATATGCATGTCCTCATGTCAGAATTAGAGTTGGGATCTTTATACTTATCAGCTATAGGGAAATGTTCTTCCCAGTTATAAGGAAAAGTTGCCATTGTTAGGTGTCTTGAATTGTCAGTTAAAGTAACTTCCAAGAGCCTGGCAAACCCACTGGGTCTCTGCAGCCGCTTGCTTGAGTCACTGAGTCTTCAGTCTTTCTTAGGATCTCCCTCCCCATGGTCAGCACTTACAATTACACAGCATTGTTATTGGGTGACTTTTGTTTGGGCCATTTGCCCGTACACCTGATTTGGCTACGACATTCTAGTTATTTTTCTTTCTATGAGTCTGTTTATAACTCTTGAGGTGAGCTCCTGTTTCATTATGCTATGAGGAAACTCCTTTACAGACCTCCCCTTGAGGAAAATTCAGCACGCATCATAGAGAACACGTTTCTTTATTGTTGCTGCTGCTTGATAAGTGATGGCAGTTCAAAGCTGTTGGCACATGTATAGAAACATAAAGCTTATTATTTAACTAGAGGCCTGGTGCACGAATTCATGCACCCGGTGGGGTCCCTCGGCCTGGCTGGTGATCAGGGATGATCAGGTCTGTCTCCCACCCCATCAGGGCCCAAGGCCAATTGGGGCAGCCAGTGTAGGGCAGGGGTTGAGGGAGATTGGTGGCCGGCTGAGGGGAGGGGCTGCGGGAAGTTGGTTGGCCAGCTACAGTAGTGCACTGACCACCAGGAGGCAGCTCCTGTGTTAAGCGTCTGCCCCTTGGTGGTCAGTGCACATCATAGCAACCAATCGATCAGTCATTTGGTCACTTAGGCTTTTATATATAGAAAAACACTATATATATAGTGTTTGGCACTTAAAGTGTGCAGCATAACTGCTTAGACCCTCACTGTGTCTGTTTTATATGTGGTCATTTTTAATCACTCATTTTTTTCTTCTTAAGTTTCTTATGCTGAAACTTTGTATCTTTTCTTAAATAGAAAAATCTAGTTCTTTTTGCACATTTGGTAAAAACATCAGAAAGGAGAATTTGTAGTTTCTTCATAAATCAGAATTTATTAGAACAAAAGCATTTAAGTATCATATAAGACAAAGTTTACAGCTCCAGATCAGCAGCATCTTTCTGCCATCAAGACAGTTTATTGTGTGACTCCCCAGGTGCCTCCTACTCTGCTGCCCTTCCTTTTATAGCTTTGTGTCTACAGGACAGGCACCTAAGACGAAGAATCTTTTGTTGCCTGAGTCACTGGAACCTCCGTTTTCCTATTTGTCCAATGGGAATGATGGTGCTGTGTGAGAATAGTAGGCCTGATATTGAATGAGCACCTGTTTGATAATGTAACAGACCTGCTGTCCTGGGGATTGCGCTGTTGGCCATGGTCAGCCTCCGCAGAGAGGAGAGATTATTGTGCCATCAGAGTTTCTCCTAACAATCTCAGTTTCGAGAGCCCTGGGACAGGTCTGGAGTAGGTCTTGTTGATAGTCTTCCACCTACTTACTGCTGTTCTTATTGCTCAGGAATCAGTGGTTTCTCCAACTCTGGCTGAGCTTCCAGAATTAGATCAGCACTTTCCAGAGCTCCTATGCCCTCTCCCTCCCCCTCCACCTGCAGGAGCAGAGAGAACCCTCATATGGCAGAGCCTGCAGGGGGTTCTGGCTGGTGTTCCCCTTTGCAGACCCTTAGCTGCCAGCTTCTGAGTGCATTGGACTGAATTATGTCCAGCAGGTGTGTGAGGCCTACAGGTGTAAAGCATGTAGGAACTAATTTTTATTTTTAAATTGCTTTTCCTTTTATTTTTTCAGTTACAGTTGATGTTAAATATTATTTTAGGTTAGTTTGAAGTATACGTATAATGGTTAGACATTTATATATTATACAAAGTGATTCCCCCCTCCCAATAAGTCTGGTATTTTAAAAGTTAGTTTTGGTTACTTGTTTTAAAGAAATGAATCCTTTAGGGCTCCCGATTACGTTAGCAAGGCTATATGGCAGACTGAGGGTGATGCAAACATGTTCCTCCTCCTTGACATTTCAGGGTAACATTTAATAAAGGAAATGCATTTTTTGAAAGAAAAGTTAGTATAATACACTAGAAAAAAATCAAGCTTCCAGACTCTAAGAGGACTTTTAAAAATTATCATCCAACTAAAGGTTTTCTAAGACAAGAATTTAGACTTAGATTCTTTAACTGTATCAGGAAAAGCAGGAGCCAAGAGGACTGGATAGCCTTTGAGATACTCACTTCTCGGATTATTCTGAGATGCACTGGCATCAGCTGCTCGCTCACGCTCAGCAGCCCTGGCATTGGGATGAGCTGCAGCCTGTCCTGTCGTGCCCCCATCTGGAGCCTGGTATCCATGGGTGGGCCTCTCTGTCTCACCTGAGTCCTTGCCTTCAGAGCGTCATGAACATGATGCACGTGATCAGCATCCCATACTCACTGATGAAGGTGAACCCGCTCTCCTGGATTCAGAAGGTCTGCCAGTACAAAGGTACGTCCCAGGGTGACCCCTTCCCCCCCCCCCCCCCCCCCGCTAATTATCATGAGTCCTCTTAACACTTCATGCTCTGGGTGCACATAGTAACTCCCTTTTCTTCTGCTTCTACTTCAGCAAAAGTGGCCTGTGTTAAGTCCAGGGACATGCACTGGGCGCTGGTAGCACACAGGGATCAAAGAGACATCAACCTCTCCTCTCTGCGGATGCTGATCGTGGCCGATGGCGCAAACCCCTGTAAGCACCGGCTGCTGCTCAGGCGAGGAAAGGCAGGCAGCAGGATCCTCTTCGCCAGGGTTTATTCTTTGCACTTTGATTTCTTAATTAGTCATTTTTAATGAAATTTCATTATCAAATCCTATAGCAAAAAGTATCTAGGTAAAGTTATAAGCAGTTTCACAGCATACTATTAATATACCTTGAGAAATATTTCAGTCAGTAGCAATAAACCACAGCGAGCTTGTTTGTTTTTTGTTTGTTTGTTTGCTTTGCTTTTTGTGAGAGGAATATGTAAGCCAGAACAAAGCCAGGGAAAATGAATTGAATGTAAGAAAGTTCTGACTACCTTTGTAAACCATGCAGTGTATATGTCTGTAAATTAGAGCAGCACATATTTTCTTAAAAAATAACTGATATGCAAAAGTGAACTGGCAAACAATTTTTAGTACTAATTTTACAAATGATTCTTCCATTTACAAAATAACTCCATAAATTGTGAGCTATTTATCTTTATTGTTGAAAGTGTTACAGTTGTCCCCTCTTTTTCCCCATTGACCCTCTCTACCCCATACCTATTTCCAATTCCCTTTTCCTCCCCCAGGTCTTCACCAAACTATTGTCTGTGCCCATGGGTTATGTATATAAGTTATTTGGTTAATGTCTCCCCTCCTACCCACTTACCTCCACCTTCCCTTTGAACACACAGTTGAATTTACCTGTTATTCTACAGAGCAACATGTCTTACACAGAACAAGGTAAACTTGTTCAAGGAAATTATTTAGCTGATGGGTCCCTAGTAATTATACTCGGGTCTCATGATTCAAGTTAATTGGAAGTTCTCTTTTGTTAGTTATGGCAGAGATTTTCAACTGGTGTGCCACCAAGAATTTAAAAAATATGTTAACCTGACTATTTAGTCATGGGCACTGACCTCTTTTCCCATAGGTTGTAAATCGAAAAATGACAATAGCCAACACAACAATAGCCATCCAGTGTAAATAAACCAAAAATGATACTTTTTTCATCAGATGGGTAAAAAATATATTTTTTGATGTGCCACAGAATTTTAGGAATTAGTTTATATGTACCATGAGATGAAAATGGTTGAAAATTGTTGAGTTAAGATTAGATTTACCCACCCTTTATGACATGCATATTGAAAATGGTAGAGCAAGTCTCAAGAAAGTTCTTGAGTCAGCAAATGTTTTGATACAGCACAGAAGTTGTGTAAATTCCTGAGTTCCATAAGTGTGAGCAGTTGTAGTAAGTGTCTTTGCCATGCTGCTTAATACCACGTGTGCCTAACCCCTAACTTCAAAAGCATTTTCTAGGATATTTTCAATCAGTGGCATAGCTGCCGCTGCCTGATTGCCATTCCCTCTTTCACTCCAGGGTCTATTTCTTCCTGCGATGCATTTCTCAATGTCTTCCAAAGCAAAGGCCTGCGCCAGGAGGTCATCTGTCCCTGCGCCAGCTCACCAGAGGCACTCACTGTGGCCATTCGGAGGTACTGCACACATTTCACGTGGCCAGCCTGGGGAAGGTCAGACCACACCACTGGAGGGAGACCTGGGATCATAGCAGTTAATCTTAGTGAGGACGCTGGAAGGGATTCTTTAAAATGTTTAGGTTCAGTAGCCAGGGAAATAGCCCTCCTTCTGGCAAGTCATGTCATTCCCGTATGAGTGGAAACCCACTAGGGGCACACTTGTTCTTGCAGGTTGCTCACTTTTTCATTTGCTCATAGTAGACCCAGGTTTACTTTGGGGTGGAACAGAGTCAGTGTTGGATGAAGTGGAATTTTTGTCACCTGTGCTGTTGTTTTTTGTTTGTTTGTTTTTTTAAATATATTTTTATTTCAGAGATAAATGGAAAAGAGAGAGATAGAAATAGCAATGAAGAGAGAGAATCATTGATCGGCTGTCTCCTCAAGACCCCCACTGGGGATCGAGCCCACAACCCAAGCCTGTGCCTTTGACTAGAATCAAACCTGGGATCTTTCAGTTCGTAGGCCAACGCTCTATCCCCTGAGCCAAACCAGCCAAGGCTGACCTGCAGTTTCTGTGTCATCTTCATTTTTCTTCTCTCTACAATATTATACATACTGCACTCTTAAAACACTGGTTTTCTGAGGTTTGAAGCCACTTGGCGGTACATCTAAGCTATTGAGTCTGTGGTAAGTGTGGGTGGTGGGTGCTCCTGCCCAGCCTCATTGTTCGGTGCCCTGGCTCATGGGTATAGGTCACTGCAGCAGCACCACTGCCTTGAGCAGCGCTGGGGGGGAGGGGGATGTGGACTGGTGAAAACTTGTCCTGCCCACGATGAGCTCTACCAGGAAGGCACATGATGGTTGTCCGCCCTCCATTATCCACACTAACAGGAGAAAGGACAGGGAGAGCATCCTCTAGGTATTGGCAGCTTGTACCATGACTGACTTTTCAGTGTCTTTGGGTTCCGTCTCAAGTTAGGTTTCATTTCTTGTCATACAGATGTGCTGCCTTGTAAGAAGGGATGACAGAACACTCAGGGCACAAAGCACATAAGTCTGCCCTTGATTACTGAAAGGTTGATTTCCCAAAAATATTCACTGGGAGAGTGTCCTTAAATGAGAAACCAGGTGTTTTTAGGTGTTTGTTAATGTAAAATTAACCAGACCACCTGACAATTGGGATAAGAAATCTAAAATCTTTAAAGTATCAGAAGCATCTAACATTTAAATTGATGAGGAAACATTGCACCATGAGCAGACTCCAATATTCTTTTTTAAAGGATGACTCTGTTGCCCTAATCACAGGAGTATCTCCACAAACAACTCATTTCTGTCTGACCTTGGAGTTCAGAAAACTTCAGGATTGTCAGCAGATTTACCTCCACAATGTTCTTCACATGTTGTCCACATATTAGAATGTCTGTCGCATTTGAACCTAAGATGGGTTCCAGGGAGACTTTTGGGCGAGTCCCAGCAGAGGCCCAGCCCTGTGATCAGAGGCCTCGTTTTCTTTCACCAAAAAATGGGGGCATTGGGCTCAGTAATCTCTTAATTTCCTTTCACCCATAAACTTTTAGGGTCTATCTACAGTTCTGTGACTTAGCACCATTGCCACAGATAATTCACTAAATGAATGATTCACACCTGTAGAAAAATCCTATCTAATAAAAGAGTAATATGCAAATTAACCATTTCTCCACGACACTGACAAGCCACGACCACCAGCCAATCAGAAGCTACTATGCAGATTAACACCAACCAAGATGGCCACAGTCACAGAGCCAGCAGGAGGCTTGGATTTCCCCAGCAATAGAGGAAACCAAGCTTCCCACACACCCTGGCGGGCCCAGGCCTCCACTCAAGGCTACAAAGTTTCAGTTATAGAAGATAAACAAATCCCAACAAAAATGGTGGCAGACATGGAGCTGGAGAGAGCAGGAGGCTTGAGTTACCCCAGACAATGAAGGAAACCAAGCTTTCCACACACACTGGCAGGCCCAACCCTCCACTCAAGGCTTTAAAGTTTCAATTATAGAAGATAAATAAATCCCAACAAAAATGGCTGCTGCCACAGAGCAAGTAGAAGGCTTGGCTCTGCTCAAGGCTACAAAGTTTCAATTATAGAAGATAAATAAATCCCAGATAGAGCCTCCGCTTGGGTCGCCAGGGGCGTGGCCAGCCTGCAAACCACCACAGGCCCCTGGCCTAGGCCGCCCCCCCCCCCCCCCAAGGGAACCAACACCCTGATCCAGGACACCCTTCAGGGCAAATCAGCCCCCACCCATGCACCAGGCCTCTATCCAGTATAATAAAAGAGTAATATGCAAATTGACTGTCACTCCAACACACAAGATGGCTGCCCCTATATAGTCAAAGATCCTGTCCCTATGTGGACACAAGATGGTCGCCACAAGATGGCCAGCAGGGGAGGGCAGTTGGAAGGGATCAGACCTGCAAAGGAGGACAGTTGGGAGTGATCAAGCCTGCAGGGGAGAGCAGTTAGGGGTGACCAGGCCGGCAGAGGAAGGAAGTTGGGGGCAACCAGGCCTGCAGGGAAGGGCAGTTAGCAGGGAACTCAGGCCTGCAGGGGAGAGCAGTTGGGGAGGGAAGGAGGAACCAGGCTTGCAGGGAAGGGCAGTTAGAGGCAAACAGGCTGGCAGGGGAGCAGTTAGGCATCAATCATTCTGGCATGGGAGTGATCAGGCTGGCAGGCAGAGGTGGTTAGGGGCAATCAGGAAGTCAGGCAGGCGAGCAATTGGGTGCCAGCAGTCCTGGATTGTGTGAGGGATGTCCCATTGCCCGTTTAGGTCTGATCCTACCAGGATCAAGCCTAAACGGGCAATCGGACATCCCTCAAGGGGTTTCACATTGGAGAAGGTGCATGCTGGGCTGAGGGACACCCCCACTTCCAATGCATAAATTTCGTGCACTGAGCCTCTAGTCTTAGTAATAAAAGGCTAATATGCAAATGGTCGTTATGCATGATTAGCTTCATCCCCTGCTTGCCTGGGCTTGACAGGGGATGTGAGGCTGTGTCTTATGTCCCTTGCCCGGTGGGGCTTGATGGGGGTAGGGCTGGCTGGGTCTGGGTTTCATGCAATTTTGAGGTATGAGTGAGTGAGCAGGGACTTGACTCTGGGTCCCAAGGCACACCCAAGACTGACAGGAGGGAGATTTTTTTATACATTTTACTAATTTTCTTTCATCTCTGATACTTCTATTATACAGAAAGGGCAAGTAGCAATATTAAAATATTTTCTCTAATTAATTCCCTTTTAATGTGCATGAATTTCATGAACCAGGCCACTAGTGCAGTTATAATGAAATGATTTACTTATTAGCCTTTTCCTAAAAAATGTATTCTCTGTGACATTAAGATAAGCAGCCTGGATTATGCCAGTTACTTGGCAGAGGGAGAGGGGGTAAGCAAATGATTTTAAATCATTTCTCTGTAAATCTTTAGCATTTAAAAAGTATTTCTAAAAATTATTTATTTAAGAAGATGAAAAAATTCAATACCAAAAGTAGGTAAAGTAAGTGGGTGCTATTGACTGAGTGTACCTCATGTGGCCCAGGAAGTATTTTCCCGACTGCCAAGGGGGCTCAGAAAGATGTGGTTTGTGTCGGAGTGCTCTTGTATGGGCCCCCTCATCCAAGCCACACCCTCATCTGTGGTTTAGACACCTCCTTTAGTCACCTGCCCTTTGCAGGCTCTGTTCCCCTGGCATGTGGTGACAGTCACTGCACTTACAGAGACAGTGACTTGACACATGTCGGTGGTGGTCTTGCTCTGAGCTGACCTGAGTGCACATTTGCATCAGCTTTTCACCCCCTGACCACAACCCTGGTGTCATCACACTTCTGAGCTCTGGTCTATTGTTTCCCAAGTGGCTGGTGGGAAAAGTCCAAATGGGGATAGGGCAGTGGATGCAATGACCACAACTCCTTGGGAACCATCCCGCACGTGGCGCCCTCAGCTGGAATCTTTCCACTAACTTGGTTCACTGGCTAAGGACTCTCTAGATGGTCCCTCTGGGGAATAGTTGGTGACATGTGATCCCTTTCATGTACAACAAGCAGGGGCCATAAAATGTACAGGATACAGGCTGAAAAGGTACAATTTTAGTATGCTAAGGAGAATTAGGATTATAACAGTCAAACTAAAACTAAAAATAGGCCCCTGGTCACATCTTACTTTACATTTGTTCCCTTGCCTTGATCATGTGCCTCAGCCTTTCCAAGACAGTCGTCATATTATTATGCAGGTGATGCATGTTGGAACCACTGAATGCTGGCGATGCTGTGAAAGAGTAATCTTTATAATTAGCTGTTATTTTTCAACTCTGTGTGGAGGTTCATTTAGGTGACAGGGACTGAAGTTCAGTGGCAAATATCTTTAGGAGGGAAATGAATGCTAGGCTCTCATTTAGAATCATTGTCCTTCTTTCTTACATGTTTATATTTAAGTTATTCCAAGCACATTTGATGAAAATAGCATTCACAATTGATTTTTATCGACATATACCTCTCCAGGCTCTTTCTATAACATGTGAATTTAGGTTTAAATTCCCTATCTCTGAAAGGTTTGGGGCAGAATCAAGCATTTAAACTCATGCAGTACTTTGTGCTAAGGGCTTATTACTTTCTTCCCTGAAACACGTAGAAGAATTAAAGGGAATTTTCCACATAAAGAGGGCAGACACCAGGCCATTAAGGAAACATAGTTTTGATTCATTGCTTTCATACCGTTTTAAGTGGCTACCAGGAAGCCTCGTCATTCATTGCTCCTTGAGGATTTTGATGTGAGGACTAAATTGACACTTTCTTAAATATCACCATAAAGTCTCATGCTGGAAGCATTGCAATCTCACATTTTGTTTACTGCCCATAGGATATTTTTTTTTTTAAAGCACGCTATTTGGCTATGTTGTCTTATTTTGTTGCAAAGAAAGACCTGTCAGGGAATAATTATCCCTCGTTAAAGCCAGTCTGCAGAGGGACATTTTCCTTCATGCAGT